GACACATTATTCGCTATAGTTTAGAAAATGGTAATAAAATATGACAAGAACTCAGAGTTAAACTGTGTCAGAACAAATTCATCTTGATAATGTTAGATAATTTTGATAGAAAGGTATGTAATAGATTACAATCAACCAAAATAATTCAAACGGCTGTTAGTATGACAGTATTTACACAACTTAGTATGAATACTTTGTCGGGCAGCCCTTAGCCTTAATTATACTTCATAGTTGACATCCTTAACTCCTTTCTGCTGTCTGTTGTTCTGTTGTTGGTGTTTCTTTGTTTGAATATGGTGCTTATCACATGCTATCGTTATCGGCGTTTGGTATCGGGGCATTTTAACAAATACGAGTACGAGTACAGGAGACCAGTATCAGGCCCGATACCGAATGCGATACTTATCCTTTGCCGGTGTCCCTGCCCGGTGGAGTCGCACGGTAGAGTCGATGGTCTTTACAATCTTCGGTCTACACATGATGGCTGCCTCGACCGCTGCTGCGGTAAACTAAGCTTTTTTATACCCTTCTAACAAAATGCTACATTAATTCAGCTGGACACACTTTCCTTATTTTCTCCACAACAAATGGCCAAGCAAGCGCAGACACTGACAAGATACGCGATACTTACTTGTATAATAATAATATAACTTTATTGTTACAGCAGGTTCACTCACAATTACAAAACTTTATCACATGGACAAAAGACCGACAAGACTTTCACAGTCAGGAAAAAAAAAAACTTTTCAAAGCCCAGATTTAGTTTTAATTTTTGTGTTACTTGTTCAGCTCTAATACAACTTGGTATACAAAGGAATACTTTAGCCTAATTCGATTATATCTTGGAACCTTGTACCAATGAAGATGATACCGATTATATCTTGGAAACTTATATCGATGAAGATGAAGAAAATCGACAAATCTTTAAAAAAGAAAAGTTTAAAATGCATGTACATTTCTGAAAAATTAACTCTTTGTATTTTTGTTGCTTTTATAGTTAAAAAACATATTTTATACTATTTTCAAGAAAATTTGAAAATGTCAATTACCTTGCCTTGTCATAAAAAGGTAATAATAATCAAACATAAATATATAAAAGAAAAATTATACAAAATAAATAAATCAAAAGTTAATAATCAAATAATATGGGCCCTGTTTGACATTGTTGGTTTTTTAGGGATTTTTTTTTTATTTTGTTTAGTAGTAGTGTAGATTTTTTTTTTTATTCTAAAATAAATTATGCCAAACTACTTTGTTTTTTTCCCCTCACAGATTTCATTCTTTAAATAAGGCGTTTGTTTAAGTATATCACCATGACATTTTGACTTTAATTTTACGAAATCAAAAACATGCCTATTGTTTTTTAACTTATTTACAACTGCATTTAATTGTCTTTTTGAATGCATTCATACAAAAATAATAATTATTACATCATTGACCCAAATACTTTAGTATGTGAATCATGCGGAACCAACCTCTATAAAAGAGGAGCTCTTTATGTGCTGAGCTCACGACTGGATGACTGTGTTATGACATAACATTTATAACAGTTTTTCCCCAAGACATCTTGTATGTTCAAATATTCATTAAGTATACTGGACACCCTGTGGAAGAGTTGAGGACAAAGAAGTATTCAGCTTTTGCCAAGGTAATGAAACCGTATGACAGTTTAAGATATTCTTTCCGCCTTCAGTTGCGAACGTTACACCGTCGACCTCCAGGTAACTTACGAGAAGAGGTCCTCCGGTTTCCATTCCAGCAGATCCCATGTGCAGTTGCTAATGTATAGCGCTGCTGTTAGATGCCATACTCGACATGTTTTCCATGAGCAAAGTTGGGCACTTTCTGATTGGGGGGGGGGCATTTGTCTTCAGTTCAGTCAATGGGAGCTATTGTTCTTGAGCTCGTGTCACCCTGTGTTAATTTGGGCTCTAATGTATTTGATAAACAAAGGGGCGCTCTTTAGCCTGACAGTCGTGACACCCTGATTCTTGCGTGGGCGCCGTGTGGCGCAGGGTTACGCCGTTAATAACCCACTGGCAGCCATCAAAGGCGCTTTAACCATGATCATTATGATAAAGGGCATACACTTAATTACAGGCCTGCTTAATTATAGCTCTGTTGAAGCTCGTTTGTTTGGTAGAATGCTAATTATACCACCGCACTCTTGGCAAGTCCTCTTTCAATCCACCTCTCTCTTTCTTTCTCGCTCTCGCTTTCTCTCAGAGAGCCGAACACTCTGGCTCATTTTCATGCAAATTGATATCCGGCGAATGTTTTGTCTCTCTCTTTCCCCTTTTTCTTTCGACGTGTGCGAGTGGGGCTTTGTTTTTGGAGTCGAACGCTCAAATACAGTGGAGGATAAAAAGGCTTTCATCTCGCTTTGTCTGAGCGAGTTTCCAAGGGGATTCAGGAACTTTCAGTGTTCTGCTATTTTCGACCATTAGATTAAGTCAAATGCATTTTCACAGCAGTGAGAGCAGTGCTCGATATTGAAGGTGTTTGTTTGAAATATTGAAATATTTATTTTTATATCGTATTTTATTATGCTGATCTCTGATTGGTCAGTAGTGGAGTTGTCAAATATTCTTGTATAATGATTGTGTATTTGACCGTTGTTCCTGGCAATCAGTTTCCTGCACTGTACTAGTTTCACGTCTCTCTTATGATTTCTCTTTTTCTTCTTTAATAAAAAAAAAATCAGTTCAAATGTTTCATGTCCATTTATTGACATTTTGATGTAATATGCAGTTAGGAAGTCTTTTTTTATTTTTTATAAATACACCCCTTCAGGATCTGGCTTCTGATCACCCTGTTGAGGTTGTTTTTTTTCAGTAATGATCAAATCATTATCTCTTATATATTTTTTGTCTCTTTCCAGCTATGGATGATATACCCTTTATGATCTACAAAAAATCTACCTCCACATCCAGAGATGAAGTAAGTGCTTCTTTAAATAATAATAATAATAATTGTTGTTGTTGCTGCTGCTGCTGCTGCTGCTGCTGCTGCTGCTGCTGCTGCTGCTGCTGCTGTTGTTGTTGTTGTTGTTGTTGTTTAACTAGTTAACCCTTTACCTTTACCTTTACGTTCTATTAGTTAACTAGTTAACGTTGCATAAACTATGCATTAGCTAACATTAACAATACCTTTGTTACAGAACGTATTAATATTTGTTAACATTTATTAATACAAATAATATATAATACATAACTTATAATATATATATATATATATATATGTGTGTGTGTGTGTGTGTATATATATATATATATATATATATATATATAGCTATCATAAAAATATATAATATATACTGTTCATTGTTAGTTTGTGTTACCTCAGGCTGACACTGATGCTCAAATAGATCTGTTACTATGGTACTTGATGCAACCAAAGTTTTGCTAGACCCCCCATCCCGCCCAGATGTTGAGCTGTGATGTGGAGCCTTCAGCACTACTGTAATGGATCTGCGGCTGATGAATGCATGCAGCCAGGCAGAGCTGGCTCATGGAGGGCCATTTGGCCCCTGTCACAAGAGCTCTGTTCTTATTGTCAGAGAGAGAATGAGAGCGAGAGAGAGGATTAAAGATCTTAAGCATGCTTACTTAACCATGGTCTCCACCATAATGTTTCCTCTTTTTTCATGTCATTTTTTCTTTATTTCCAGATAGATCCAGTCCATTTTTTCAACATCACCATCAAATCACCACAAGAGATTGAAGATGAAGTAAGTTCAAATATGCTCAGGTAGACTAAGGTGCTCAGGTTAACCTACATATTCATACATTATTTTGTATTGTTTTGTGATTTTCAGTCAAAAATTGGTAGAAATTGCACAAACAATTTATCAAATAACAGTTACAAAGGATAAGTAACATGAAAGACAGAAATTTTTTTTTTTCTTGTAAAACTTTGTTTTATTTGCAACTTCGAAAAATCATTTTTGGTGTACATTTAACTTGTAAGGCTTGTCTATGGCTTACCAATATGATTATTATTTAAATGTTAATA